AACTAGTTACTTATTCTCATATAATTGACATATAACATTGTGTAAGTTTGTGTACAATTTATATATATATTGAATTTATATAATTTTTATATTACTACCATAGCTTAGCTAACACTGCTGTCATATCACATGATTATTTCTTTTTTGTTGTGGGAAGAATTAAGTCTCTTATCAACTTTGAAGTTTATTGTATTGTTGACTTATAATCACCATGCTGTGTATTGAATCTCCAGGACTTACCTACTAGTTGGAAGTTTGTACCCCTAAACAACATCTTCCCAATCTCTCCATCCTCTAGCCTCTGGTAACCACCGTTGCACTCTCTGCTTTTTGTTTTTTTAGATCCCACGTATTTGTCTTTTTAACTCATTATTCCTTTGATTCATAACTTTAAACATTGGCCAGAACTTTCAGAACAATATTAAATAAAAATGGTGACAGACGGCATCCTTATGAGGTTCTGAATTAAATATAACATAAAAAGTATAGTACTCTAATGATTGGTACAAAGGAAGTGAAAATGAATTGTGTTTAGAACAAAGAATATTTCCAGTTCTCTAGGAAAGGTCCTATAGGATGAGTTCTATACAGCTTTAGTTCTTCAGAGTCTTTGAATAACATCATGTGCTCTTAGATGTTAATACTAAAGAAGTATTTTGTCCATATTTCCTTCCTTCCTTGTCCATATTTTCTAGAAATCTTAAAATATAGCTGGAGGGTTAGGGCTATCACATTTAAAATCATTGCTGAATCTCTCTCTCTTTTTTTTTTTTAAGATTTTATTTATTTATTTGACAGCGAGAGAGGAAATACAGCAGGGGGAGTGGGAGAGGGAGAAGCAGGCTTCCCGCCGAGCAGGGTGCCCGGTGCAGGGCTCGATCCCAGGACCCTGGGATCATGACCTGAGCCGAAGGCAGACGCTTAACGACTGAGCCACCCAGGCGCCTCTGAATCTTTTTTTTTTTTTTTTTCAAAATTATGAAGAACTTACGAAGCAAAAACAAGGTGCTGTATACACTTATGTAAGTAGTTGGTAAATACATTTTTTTTAAGAACTCAGAGATTAGGGAGATCATCATGGGCTGGTGTGGGACTAGATTGGAATTGTGCAGATTATCATAAATGGAGGTGGGAAGTGAGATTATTACATTGACTAGAATGAACATGACCAGATCATGAAATTAATCTTGGTCCTGTCTCTGGCTCATACCGCAGTTACTAAGACCGTTCCAAAGATTATTGCTAGCTTGGCTGAGAATTTAGTTTTATAGATTCTAAATAGGTTTATAAAAGAGGTTCTTAAGTTTTTCCCCTGTGAAGAAGTGATCACACTGTGATATAAATGTAATTAATTATATGGTGAACCCCAAATGGGAAATTCTCATTAGCTGAGAGTGACTGTTTGATATGGAACATTTCTATATTTATTCTTTTGTTGTTGTTGCTGCTATTTTTGTTCTCATCCCATGGTATTGTCTGCATTTTAGGTATTAGTATGAATGCATCCAGGAGTGTTTTATTATTGTTTGCAGCAATTTTATTTAGAATTCTTACACTAAATTATCTTTCTTTTTTTTTTTTTTTTAAGATTTTTATTTATTTGAGAGAGAGAGAGAGTGAAAGAGAGTGAGCCTGAGAAGGGGGGGGCAGAGGGAGAACCAGACCCCCTGCTGAGCAGGGAGCCCAACAGGGGACTTGATCCTCAGACTCCAGGATCATGACCTGAGCTGAAGGCAGTCGCTTAACCAACTGAGCCACCCAGGCGCCCCCTGAATTATCTTTCTGCTGTATGCTGCAGAATATATGGGTGGGACTGAAATGTATCAACTTAACTAACTTGAATTTGAAAGTAAACATCAGTTTTACCTTGACATTCTGGAGTATATAGTGTAACACGGAGTTAATACTGAATAGTATCATCATTTAATCATCTTGATTTCATTTTATCATTATTATCTTTTTTTTTTTTACCATTTTACTGTTAGGATTTATCTTAAGTTTTATTATTCAGAGATTACAGGGAAGTGTAAGTAAGTGCGTCATTCTACTTTTTCAGGTTTCATGCAGGTTGCAAATTTTTTGGGTTTTAACTGAGCTAATGTTGAATGTCTTGGCTTAGATTGCTGAGAATTGTAATCAAAAACAAAAAATGAAATCCTTTCAAACGCTTTAGATCTCTTTGGCCTAGTACTCGCTCTGTTCTGCTTGTGCTTCTTTTTGTTGGGGGTGGAGATTGGCTCTGTGGTTGGAACAAGGGGCAAGCTGGGCAAGCCCCACCCTGACAGCAGTGGCTGACTTAGGAGACTGCAGGTAGAAAGGCTGGGTCTGCCTCCCTCCCCTGCCCCCTTTCTCCTGCTGAGCCACTGATACCTGCTTGCTCCTTTGCTAGGACTGAGCACAGCAGAGCCTCATAGCCAGGCTTTGTCAGTCACCAGGGATGTTTAGCTTTAGAGTGTATCAGTCAGTGCAAAGCACTCTGCCTCATGTTATAGATGCAGTGATCAAAAGTAAAACAAAGCTGGACCCCGACCCCAGCCTAATGAGAAATCCATGGCTATAAATCAAATTCCCAGTTGCCTCCCAAGTCTCTTTTCCTTTATTATCCTTTCTCTGGACATTAGATCCCGCCTGCCGGTTACATTGCCTTGAGAGACATTCCTAAAACCAAGCATCCTGCATTATTGTCAGTCTTTTCCTCAGCCCTCACCTCCGCTAGCATTCCTGCTTTCTGTTCATGCCTGCACTACCAGTTCTCAAGATTTGAAATCTACCTGCTACATAGATCTCTTTGATCTCTCTCGTCACTGTCAGTACCGTATTTTGTCTTTGTCAGGTAGCTCTGTAAAGCAAATCACATACCATTGCTAACTGTGAGATACGAAGTTTGGTTCTGGTCTTGTCACTCTCCTACTGAAAAGGCTAGTGCTTCTCATTACTTCGCAATAAAATCTGTGTAGAATCTTCAGTAGTATGTTCATAACCCTCTTAGTTATCTCCTCCCATTCCTCTTAATGTGCTCTGGACAAAAAGAGCTGCTTTTCTCTCCATCACATTTTATTTTATTTTATTTTATTTTTTAAATTTCATTTATCTTTTGACAGAGCGACAGCGAGAGAGGGAACACAAGCGGGGGGAGTGGGAGAGGGAGAAGCAGGCTTCCTGCAGAGCAGGGAGCCCGATGCGGGGCTAGATCCCAGGACCCTGGGATCATGACCCGAGCCGAAGGCAGACGCTTAACGACTGAGCCACCCAGGCGCCCCTCTCTATCACGTTTTAAAGCCACATGATTTTGTTCACGTTCTCATTTCTTTAAGTCCTTCTCCTTGCCAGTGCACTCAGACCTTTCCGTGTTTTTTTTTTCCCCCAAGATTTATTTATTTATTTGAGAGAGAGAGAAAGTACGAGCAGGGGGAGGAACAGAGGGAGAGAGTATCCAAACAGACTCGTGCTGAGTGTGGAGCCCAATGCAGGCTCGGTCTCATGACCCTGAGATCATGACCTGAGCCAAACCAAGAGTCAGATGCTTAACCAACTGAACCACCCAGGTGCCCCTCAGACTCTTCACTTCTTAGCAGAAATGCCACCACCTTTATAACATCATTCCCTAACTAGTCTGAAGTGGTTTCTCTAATCCTCAGAATCTTACAGCCATTTCTTTCTTTTTTCTTTTCTTTTTTCTTTCCTTTCCTTTCCTTTCCTTTCCTTTCCTTTCCTTTCCTTTCCTTTCCTTTCCTTTCCTTTCCTTCCTCCCTTCCTCCTTCCCTCCCTCCCTTTCCTTACTTCCTTCCTTCCTTCCTTCCTTTAGATCTCTTTGGCCTAGTACTCGCTCTGTTCTGCTTGTGCTTCTTTATGTTGGGGGTGGAGATTGGCTCTGTGGTTGAACAAGGGGCAAGCTGGGCAAGCCCCACCCTGACAGCAGTGGCTGACTTAGGAGACTGCAGGTGGAAAGGCTGGGTCTTTCCTTCCTTCTTCCTTCCTTCCTCCCTTCCTCCTTCCGTACCTCCCTTCCTCCCTTCCTCCCTCCCTCCTTTCCTTCCTTTCTCTCTCTCTCTCTCTCTCCCTCTCTCAGAGAGAGGGAAGGAGAGGAGGGGCAGAGGGGGAGAGAGGGTCTCAAGCAGACTCCCCACTAGTACGGAGCCTGACGTGGGGCTTCATCTCACAATCCTGAGATCAAGACCTGAGCCAAAACCAAGAGTCAGACACTTAACTGACTGAGCCACCCAGGCGCCCCACTTAACAGCCATTCCTGTATGTCCCTTATGACATCTCTTTCTTTTCGTTTGTTTGATAGTTACTTATGCGTTTGTTTTACCATAGTGAAAGTGTCTCATGGCAGGAGTGCTTTCTTTTTTGTCTTTATATCCCTCGGCATGAGGCTTCGTGCCTCACACATGCAGCAGGTACTCAGGAAATAAAGGTTACTGATGAAATGAAGACCTCATATGGTTGGTTTAGTTGTATTATGATCAGTTCACTTTACAAAGTGTTGTCCATCTGCTGTCTGAAAGAACATACCAGAACCACAAACATTGGCCTTACATTGTGAATTCTGTGGTGACCACAACACCGTAGGTGACAGTTGCCTTGTTAAGTAACAAGACTCCATTTCCTTTTTTCTCGGACAGGAGAATCAGATGAGAGGGAACAGTCCAAATTGGAAGTTAAAGTTTGGGATCCAAATAGCCCACTTACAGATCGACAGATTGACCAGTTTTTAGTTGTAGCACGGTAAGTATGGCACTGTTGACTCAAGAGATAGCTTTTCTTTTTAGAAAAGAATTTATAGGTGTATGTATATTCCTTTCCTTGTATTCTACCTTTTCCACTGGTTGTGTTCTTTTTCTGGTTATGTAAGAAGACCTAATTATGTATCATACCACTTCTTAAATATGATTAACCATTAGTTTTTGTTTGAGAATAGATTTATTAATTTACTGATTAAGAAAAATAATGCTTATTGTAAAAATTTGAGCACTAAGGAACAATATAAATGAAATTAAACCCCTGAAATCCCTTATCTTTAATTAGAGCAGTTCTCTCTTTTACGCTAGACCAGGATTATCAGGTGTCAGTAATAATGTGCACCTCGAATTCCTCTTATGGCACTTACATATGAGTAGGGCCTATTGCTAAGCATATGGCTTTCCTTTGAGAGCTTTTAAGCCTGGCTGCCTGACTGGCTTGCCACCACCCCCACCCTCCCACCCCCTTTAAGAAAATGAGTGGGACAAAAATTTATTTTTATTTTTCAATTATAAAAGTTAAAGATGCTCATGGGAGAATTACTGCAAAGCAGAAGGTAAATGAGATTATTATAGCATTGTAAATAGTGGAAAAATTGATAAATGAATTGAGGCATATTCAGTGGTGGAATATTACTTTATAGCAATGAAAATGAATGAATTAGAGGGATATATAGCAAATAGATAAATCTCAAAAATCATGTTGAGTGAGCGTACACACGGTATGATCACTTATAAAAAGTTTTACACTGTACAATGTCTTATTTCATGAACGGGCATATAGATACACATGCTTATATGTATGTATGAGTTCTGGGAATGTATATAGGAGGCTCTAAAATTTCTAATATTTATTTCCTTAAAAAATGAACCAAACATGGCAAAATATTAGAATCAGATAGATATAGACATGATTAGAAGGGTCTTCATTATGTTCTCTAATTCTCTGTTGAGCTTTTATTGTAACACAAAGGAAAAAAGGGCCTGAGTCCACCTTAGCACTGTTCATAGTGCCTGTCTCCGTGGAAGTCACACATATTGGCGGCTGGGCATTCAGACTCCAGCGCCCACACACGTAGCCGCTGGTGATTGGATGGGGATGTGAAGTACATTGTTGGGGAAGCCAGTCCAGTGGATAGATGAGATTGAAGATTTGGGAGTGGAAATGAATCATTGGTGGAACCACTGGCCTAGAGACTCCAGACAGGTTACCCAGATCTGGGATTATTTAGTAGACCTTGCAGTTTCAGATTTGATTTTCATTGTTTTTTCCTTTTCCTGATTGCCATGGACCATAACATTTCCTTTTTCCTTGAAGCCAGCATGAGAGACACCAGAGATGCATCTGGTGCCTTTTTCAGTTTTTGTCTTAAAAAAGATCTTCTAAATACAAATTAAGACCATAATCAGATACCATTACACGTCCCACCAGAATGGTTAAAATTTAAAAGGCAGTGCGTGAGCTGTCGTGCCGGTGGGCATGGTATAGCCCGCTTTGCGCTCAGAGACAGACGCATCCTTTACGTTTCGCTCCTGAATGTGTACTCAGCAGACGTGCACACATACACCTGTGCACCAAAAGATGCATACACAAATGGCATTAACGGTACTACCCAGAGTAGCCCAAACTGGACACAGACATCCATCGGCGATAGAGTGGGGGTGGGGATGGGGCATCATACAGAGAAATGCTCCATGGCAAGTAAGATGAAGGCACACAGCTCTAAGCAGTAGGATGCATGAGTCCACAAACGTATTTTGAACAGAAGAAGCTGGATGTGAAAAGAGTACATAGTATGCACTTGTATTAAGTTCTCAAATGAGCAAAACTAACCCGTGGTGTTAGAATCCATTATGATGGTTCTCCTTTGGGAGGAGGAAGGGAGTACAGATCGGGAGGGACACGAGGAGTCTTCTGGGGTGCTGTTGCATTCTGCTCCTCGCCCTGGGTGTCAGTGACATGAACGGGTCCACTTTGCAATCACTGCGGACCCGTACAGTGTGCACTTTTATGCCCCTGTGTTATATGTTAATTAGAACATTTAAAAAATTTCTTCCTCAGACAAGGGAAGGGGAATGCTTAAAATGCAGACAAGGGAAGGGGAATAAAATAAAGCAAACAGCAAGTCTTATGTTTATTTCATGCTTTATCTGTGGGAAGGCCTTCTGAATCATTAAGTGAAAAAAAGTGTTGCAATTGTGTTTTGTTTTGTTTTAATGGAAATCTGTTATATCTTGAGCCCTCATAGGAAGAGGTTGCTACAGTTGATGATACCTCATTTCAAGGAAAGAATGTTATTGGGATTTCACAATTTGGGCTATAAAAAGTGGTCAGAGCTTGTTTTGCAGTAATTGTCAAACTCTGCAGCTTATTTACTTCTCATTTTTTTGAGCACAGTTCAATACCAAATTGTTTACTCCGTGGCATTTCATAATGGGTCTTTCCCTTCTTTATGGCACACAAATCACTTCTCCATTTCCTTATAATGACCCATATATAGTAAATTGGCTTGTCAATGCTTAAACCTTATAGTAAATACTTTTTATTTTATATTTGATTCTCAAACATCCAAGAACTTGTTTGACTTTTTTTTCTTCTCCCTTTCCTTTATTTTTCTCCATAGCACATATCCACCTGACAGCTATGTTTGTTATTTACCTATGTAAATTTACCTGTCTTCCTGTGTAAAGAAAAGTATTGCCCAAGATGAGCCCTAGCCCTAAAGACCATGGAAAATAATCCTCTGCAGCCTGTTTAAAAGATTACCTCTTGGAGGCTGGTATACTTAGGGATGACAAATTTCTGAGATTGCTAGATGCAGGCAGAGGTTGATTTCATCAGTGTGCCATCCCCTGTCTCTGAAGTGGCCAAGGCAAATTGCCTCGTGCGGTCCACTCGAGATGATCCCTGAATGACTGCACCAACAGCAAGAAGGAAACGAGTCCACTGCCCTAGAAAGGAGCTATAGTGGAGACAAATGTAGAACCCTTCTTGGCCAACACTGTTCTTTGCACAGGAGGAAACTGGGCCATCTCACCCAAGGCCCAGCATGCATTGGAGACAAGGCTGAGACTCACACTCAGACCTCAGCTTCCGGCCCCTGGATCCTCACCACTGACTTTCCTTTAACAGTTTGCATGCACTACCCAAATGCGTGTTTTCTGTGTTTTTTTTTAAACATAAAAAACATAACAGAGCCTTAATTTTTCCTCTTTGTTTTTGTGGATTATTCAGTGCTGTGGGGACATTCGCTCGAGCCCTTGATTGCAGCAGCTCGGTGAGGCAGCCGAGTCTGCATATGAGCGCAGCTGCAGCGTCTCGGGATATCACCCTGGTAAGATGCTTTTTGAAAGTTAGGGGTTATTATTTCCTCTGCTCCTTCAATTTTAAAGTTAGTATTGCATGTTGTAGATGGGAGAGCTTTCTGGTGAAAGAGCTTTCTGGCTCTTAGCCCTGCTAACTGCTAGGTTGATTTGGCTCTCCTGATTGGTTAACTGGGGTTAGGGTGTCCCATTCCTAAGTCCCCTCTTGTGTTTGTGAGCTGAGACAAATAAGAATGACTGTTGATGGAGTAGCTATGAAACGGAAGAAGAATATTCTGGGGAAAACAGTTTAACATTCTGACCCATCTCTTTTCACTTGTATGATTCTTTTCTTGTAGCCTCTCTATGGACTTAAATCGTTGTACATTGTATATAATGCTTTACAGGTTTTTTTTTCCCTGAACGTGACCATCTCTTGTTGCTATAGGAGTTAATTCAGTTATCATGTCATTATTCAATATCAATATTTAAGTTTTCGTGTCTGTTCATTAGAAAGAGGTTCTGTTTTTGTGCATTTTTCATTCCATTATGGTTGCTTCTTCTAAGACTATTTCCTTTTTTTCCTTTCATGATCAAGTGAAACTTCCCATATTCAGTTTATACCACAATGCCTGCTGTGGCCAGGCATTGAACGTGGCTCTTGGCTTCTTTATCTGCACCCTCCAGCAAAATGGACCTGCAGGTTTTTGCCAGTTGAAGTTACTCTGTATTTGACTACCAGAGCCCTTTGAGACAATAACAGATGAGAAAACTGAGGTTTGGCGAGGTTAAATTATTTGACCAATATCCATTACTATAAGGTTTCCATTTTTTTTTTCTTCACAGTACCATGGCTCTTTACAACTAGCTTATTAATGTAGATCTTCTTGCCTCTGCAGTTCCCTGAGACCATTTATTAATGCTGGTTACATCATCACTCATGACACTACATTATCCATCCTGCCTCTTCTGAATACTAGTTTCTGGTGACTCTCTTTAAAGTCATCACTGTGCTCTGTTGATGATGACCACAAATGCAAGTCTTGCCCAGGATATGCAGAAACATGTGAGCAATAATTTGTTTTCTGGTTCTGTTAAATTTATCATTCAGAATTTTACAGTATAAACTTAAATACATCTTCCAATCCTGTCTTCCTTTCAATTCTTCAGACCATAATCACTACCAAATAAAATGCACCAAGAGTCCTAAAAATGTCTCCCCTCAAAATATATCCAAAACCTGACCACTCCTCTCTGTCTCAAGTTCTTCAGTGTTAATCCAAACCGTCTCACTTAGGGTACTGATATTCAGTACCCCATAACAGGTTTTCTCAAGTCTACTCCTACAAGTTTCAATTTTGTTTTCTGATGGAATGGAATACAATGATAGGTTTTACTACTTTCTGGTTCTATTCCAATTTGAAATGCCACAATAATATAAAAACAACAGTAATATAAAAACTCATACTGGAATGCACATCAAATTCGTTTCTTACAAGGCTTTCTTATACTATAGATGATGGTGAAAGCATGAATACTCTGTAGCCATTATGGAGCTCCTTTCTTTATGCTTTCTCAGAGACTAGATGTTGTTTATAGAAGCACGTTTTGTTCTCTCCATTGGTACATTAGTATTTTATGTAAAAGTTTAGGGGTGTCAAAATAGGTTTGTATTTTGTTTTTTAGAACTTGTAGAGTACTTTACTAAAGGAGTGAGAGTACAAGTGTCACATTTGTAAAAACCTTCAAAATCCTGTCACTAGATATTTCTATGAACCAGAACTATATGGAATCTAATCACCACTTGTATTTTTTTTCCTGTTCAAGGAGATTTTTTCCCCAATTCTAAAATCAGTGTATGCTTTTTTGAAAATTTGACAAATTTAAGTACAGCAGCAGCCAAAAAGAAAAGTCTTATTCTCATTACCCAGAGTAGAATATTCTTACCGTTTTGTAATATTTCCTTTCAGCCACTCTTTGTGCATTATAAACAGTAATACCAGCAAATTACAGAATAGTAGAGGATAACGTAATAAAACTCCACATAATGCCACCTAAGACAAATGTTAGTATTTTAGTTCTTTGGATTAAAGAAAATTTCAACCATTATACTGTTGTCTCTAATGTTCTCTCCCCAGTTCTGTGCTGCACCCTCCCTCCATACCTCTGACGCCCATCACCCCAGCCTGCTGTCAAGAGATCTGCTATGTATCTAGTCTGTGTTTTTCTAGTTTCACTATGTATTTGTGTGTCTGAAAACAACATAAAGATGGTTTTGCGTGTGTTTCAATTTACTCTGTGACATTTTGCTATTTGCCTGTTATTGACATCTAGCTATGTTAATAAACACATACCCAGTTCACTCATTTTAACCACTGGGTAGTATTTGTAGTACTCCTTCCTGGAATACTACACCACATTATTTATGTATTCTCTTAACGATGAATATCTGGAGTGCTTTAAAAACATTTTTCGTTTGCTACTACCCATAATGCTGCATTGAAAATTCTAACACATATCCTTTGTGAGCATGTATGAGTTTTCTGCCATAACAAGAATTGGAATAGTTATTCATAGTGATTCATAGGGCTGTGCTCACTTTGAATTTGACCAAATGCAACCAAGTTATTCTGCATACCAAGGTAGAAATTTATAATCCCACAAGCAGTCCATGAATATTTTCCTTTCCTCATCCATTTTCTTATATTGTCTTCAACCTTGTGTATTTTCAGACAAAAATTTTTATTAACCTGATGCTTATCTCGTTTTAATGTGTTTCTTACTTAATGAGGTTAAGCAGGTTTTCATATATTTATTGGCTCTTCAGGGTTTTTTTTTTTATATTTTAGATTTATATCCTTTGTCCATTCTTCATTTGTATTATTTTATTTTTTTCTAATAGTTTTAAAATGTTATATTCAAGACTATAAATATACCTGGAGTTTATTTTTTAAGACTGGAATGAGGTGTAGGAGTGTCATTGTGTTTTTTTCCCATATGGAAAATAAACATAACAACACCTTTTATTGAATTGGTTGTTTCCATATGATTTTGTATTGCTTCCTCTTTCTTATTTCAAGGTTTTAGATATGGTCAGGTCTGCTTCCGGATATGTAACCTATTCTCTTCTGTTTTGTTGATCTGTCTGTCCCTGCGCAAGCACCACATTATAAAAAAGCTGCTAAGTCCCACATGAACTTTCTTGTTAACACATAGTGGAAGTCATTTAAATGGGAGTTTTGTACTTTGCCTCCTCCCACCATGTTTTCCCTAACAATATAAAATGAACACTTTTTCATATCATCGTAAGAATCAGAAAGTTTTTTTTTTTAATGTTGCGTGACCACGCTTGTATAGATAAACTTGTTACTTACATAGCCAGTCTCTTGTTTAACACTGTTCTTCTGAGAGAATGCTTCCCAGATCATGGCTGCAGATGCTCGCCCTGTCGCCCTGTCGTAGTGCTGCAGATTCCCTCCACCCCGTCTGAGGAGTGAGGGGGGAAAGCCTGTTCTTGAGAAGCTACAGAGCCCTGCACCGGTAGGGACTGATGCTGATTTGCCTGGAGATAGGTGTGACCAGGTGAAGAGCAAGTGTGTGGGCTTTTGGTCCCTACTTCAACAACTCTCTGCTGCCCACTCGTGGTGCCTGGTGGCACAGCGGCCGATTTTTTTTTTTTTTTTTGAAGAGGGCAGTTTTTCAGATTCAGTATTTGTTTTCTGTCCGTGAAGGCTGTTTGTAAAAGAAGCATTTTAAAGAGAACACAACCGATGTACATTGATTAGTCTACACATCATTTTGTGTGTATCTTTTGCAGTCCTGGCCTGCGTACTCCTAGGCAGGGGCTTGCACACACTCCAGTGTCTGCATTTCTTCTATTTTGTTTCCTTTCGTATTTAGCAGTTGGGGAGCCACTTTTGTATTACATCTATTATCTTAAATTGTTTATTACTCTGTTACCTTTTAAAGCAGAAGTGTACTCAGAGGCCCAGGAAATTGTGTTTTGTCATGTTTGTACAGCTGGTTTCAGAGACAGGATTTGATCTGTTCTTGACTCTGACTGAGGAATTCTCTCTCCCAGATTACCTCTTCTCTCTCACTCTCGTTAAAATGGTTTGGGCTTAAAAATCTGTATTGTTGTCTGTCTTGGATTAGGCAGCACCGAAGATCTGCTCTTTTGTCTGCAACATTGAAATGCTTTGGTTTCCTGTTCTAACTACTGTAGGTTCAGCTTTACTTGGACTTTTTCTGTATGTAGTTCTTGGGTTGAGATTATTATTATTATTTTAAGATTTTATTTATTTGAGAGAGAGAGACAGTGATGAGATAGAATGCACAGGTGGGGAGGAGAGGGAGAAGCAAGCTCCCCACTGAGCAGTGAGCCCATTGTGGGGCTTGATCCCAGGACCCCGAGATCATGACCCAAGCCGAAGGCAGACACTTAATTGACTGAGCCACCCAGCTGCCCCTTGGATTCAGATTATTTTCAGTGCCATAAAATTGACATCTTTCAGAAGTCACAAAAGCAGGAAGAAATCGATGCCCTTTGTTATTTCAGATGCCATGACCTGCACCTTTAATCCTGTTTGGCCAATGGTATCGTGCCTTCTACTCTGATGTTAACATATAAGATCCTGGGGCATTACTATAGAATTGAGAGGGAGTGGCTAAATATTGATTAATTATATGTTGATAACATGAATTTTACAAATTGTTTTCCCAAAAGGCCATATGAAAAGCTGCTAAGTTGTTTTGTGCCATTAAATGAAAATTAGATTCATCATTCAGTTGAATTTGGAGAGTCAAGTTCTTATTTTTTTTGTCAGTGTTTTCAGTTCTGTATAGATCAGGTTAGTACCTATCTCCATCAGGTGACCAGACTGTGTTATCTGTAGACCTCCCACTGCAGAGAGGGCAGTTCTAGAACTGCAGGACCTCAGGGGGCCTGTTCTAGGTGATTTTCTTTGTGGTTTTTCCTGTAAGGACTGCATCTGGCTTTCAGCATTCCTAATCCGAAGCATCTGTTTATCCT